TTCAAAAGCAAAAAGTTAGTCACTATAATTCAAATTAGAAAACATTTTTACTAATTCAAATTTAGAGAATAGTTTAATATTCAATTATTATCTAAAATTTTAAGCGAAATTCATATTTAAATCAATTTTTATTAGAAAATTTTACGAGAATTCAATTATTTAAATAAAAAAATAAATCAATTTTTGAAGAATTAAATGTTTTTTAAAATTGAACTTTCCTAAAGAATTTTATCAACAAATTTTTAAATAGATAATTACAATTCTTTTGACGAATTTTAAAAAATAATTAAAAATAATTTCATTTTTTGAGAAATTAGATTAAAATTGTATTAAAATTAAAAATAATTAAATCTCTGTAAAAAATTTCATTGAATTGAGAAAAGTTTTTGAAAATAATTGAAATTTTACGAAGAATTTTATTAAAATTTTTTTAAATAATTGAATTTTGGAGAAAAATTTTATTATTTATAAAGATAATTGAAATTTTGACGATAATTTTTGTAAATTTTTAAACATAATTGACAATAATACTTAAATTCTAATAAATAAATTATAGGAAGGCTTTTTAAAATAATTGAATTTCTTTGATGAATTTTAATAAAATTTTTAAGAATAATTACATTTTTCGAGAAATTCCATTAAAATTTGTATTAAAAATAATTGAAATTCTGCGATGAATTTTATTATTTATGAAAATAATTGAAAACCTATAAAGTTTTTTATTATTTATGAAAATAATTGAATCTCTGTAAAAAATCTGACGATTTATGAAAATAATTGAATTATTGCGAAGAAATAATTTGTAAATAATAGAATTCCTGTGAAATTGTTATTATTTAAATAATTCATTCAAAATTGAAATTTTACAAAATTTCAAATTACAACCTTTTAAAGTTTATCTATTTATGAAAATTTTAAACGCAACTCTTTTAAAATTGAATTAATTTTGAAATGTTTAAGAGAAACTAGATTTCAAGAATAAGCACAATAATAACTTTAGAGAAGAATAATTTTCCAGGATTCCGATCAAAATTCCCTGACTTTTCCATGTTTTTTCAAGGTTTATAAAATTCCCTGACATTTACAGGTTCTCCAGTAACTACAAATCTAAAGAAGAAAAAGATTTAAATCATGGAAAAAGATTTGTTTACGACAATTGAGAGAATCAGAAAGATTTAATTTCGAAAGAGAAAATCCGTAAGATCGAATAAAAAATTGTGTCTTAATTACAGGGGAAATTATATTAAACATATTTATATATTAAGTCTTTTAAGTGTAGAAAGAACGGCCACGTATAACAAACTATGTTAAATTTAACCTATAATTTAGTTACGGTATGGAGCGAGCGTTATTTCTTTGCTCTGGGCGTTAATTAGAAATTGATATCAATCAATGTGAATTTTGATTATCATTCGACTAGACGTGCCTCTCTCTCTCTCTCTCTCTCTCTCTCTCTCTCTCCTACCATGGCTTCTTAATCTATCAAAGTGCCCCCGGCCAAAGCAGATGTGATGTGTGTAATTGCAACCCACATGTTTGCAATAATCAATTATTTATTTGTAGCGCTCTCGATTCTCCATAAATAAACGATGCATTGATTTAAACAAGATGATGGAAAGGAACAAGTAAGGCATGCAAAAAAGAATCGTATATTCTTTTCATTCCCCTCAACAATATATACCATCTGTTCTTAAGAGTTATAAGATATATAAAAACTCCATAAATCATAATTTGTAATTTGAAAACAGTTTTCATTGCCAACAAAATCAAAGTACTATTTGAATACTGCAAATTAAAAGTTAGCACTAATAAAACGAACCAAAAGAAAAAGTAAATATATTTAGTGTTATAAATTTATTCTAACTTTAAAAGTTAATTTTGAAATATGTGTGGTTTGTGTCCTAAAACTTTTCTTTTGAGAGCAATTTATGCTGCGGGAGATGAAGGAATACACAATTTTTTTTTTTTTTTTTTGAAGAATCAATGTCGATTTTGCACGCCGGCGGTAGACACAATGTAAATACGAGAAGTACGTGTCATACACAAGAGGAGAAATATCCATGAACCACGAAGAACCGTTTTGTTGGCAGTGGGACGCTACTCTCACCAGTTTTTGAAGCCCTCGCTCTATTTCACGGATGTAACGAGAACGATATTTTACGCCTCGCTTTGAAAATTCCTAATGAACTTCTTATATCAGGCCAAACTAATCTTCTTCCCAAGGTAAACAATTAATTAGAATTCAAAAACTCAATCGCAGAAAGCACTTTAAAAGACATCTTTCTTCACAATTTTTGTCCTTTTATTTTGCTAATGCCTCTATTACTATCATCAATGATTGAATACTTTCGGTTTTTAAATTACAAAAATTATTTTTCTCAGTGATTTTTGTTTGGTACCACTAATTAGATTCTGATTTGAATTAGAATAAATTTAGATACATTTAAATGTTACCATAATGGTTCTTTATTTTTATCATATTAGTGCTAAAAATGTTATAGTATTAGTGCCATAATGGTACCATGTTGGTACCATAATATAACCATATTAGTGATACAATGGTACCACGTTGGTTCTATAATGGAACCGTATTAATGCTGTAATTGTGCCTTGTTGGTACCATAAGAGAACCATATTAGTGCTATAATGGTACCATGTTTGTTCTATAATGGACACATATTAGTGATATAAAGGTACCATAATCATACGGTATTTGGGATATACTGTTACCATGATGCTGCTATAATGTTACCATCATGATACTATAATGGTGCCATAATTTTGCTAAATATAAATGGTACTAGCATTACCGAAAATGGAACTTTTTGTTAGGCACCATACTCAAAACTAAAAAGCAATACCATAAGAGTTATATTTGAGTTGGTATTGCTAAATGAGTAAATACAGATGCTAACAAAAGGATAAAGTGGAAGTACCACTAAAATAATGATACAGAAATTTTAATGTTACCCATTGTGGTATAATTAGTCAATAGAATTTTCAACTGATGCAAAAAGCAAACTTATTTTTCGAACCAAGTTTGAAAACAAAAGCAATTGGTACCAGAAAAATAAATAAATAATACAGCAGTACACGCAGGACCATTGGTATAGAAATGGTACCATTGATAAAAATTATTTTTAGTGTCAAATTTACAAGTGAAAGCAATTAGTAATTCTGTTACCAACAAGCAATAAGCTATATAAATGATACCAATCATACTGGTACCAAATGATCAAATTATTTTTGGTCGTAAATTCAAAACCAAAAATACAATAGAAACTTGGTTTATCGTCTAAATGGTACCAATATTATACTGAAGAAATTTTCATGATGCTAATTCTGCTACCAATAAGAAATAAGCTATATAAGTGATACCAATCATACTGGTAGCAAAGATAAAATTATTTATGATCGTAAATTCAAAACCAAAAATACAATAATCCAAAAAATTTGGATGAGAAGTGGTACCACTTTTAATGGTATCAATTGTGGTATCATTAGTCAATAGAATATAAAACTGGTGCTAAGCACTTCATTATACAAATGGTACCAATTCTCTACCACCTCTTTACGAAAGGTTCACGAAATTTACAGTACCAAGAACCACTTTTTGATGCTTAATAAAACGATACCACAAATTGATACCAATTAGTGGTATCGTTTTATAATTACTGACTGGTTCTTAAATAATTGATAACTATGGTACAAATTATGGTATCGTATGTGAATTTCTATAAATCTGTAACATAATAATGTCACCAGCAACAAAATTTTATTCCGGTTCCATTTATTTTTCAGCAATGAATCATGAAACCATAAGTGTACTTGCAGGTGGTACCAATGATCCAAGATTAAGTGATAGTAATTCTATTTAGTATAACAGTTTCAATATTTGAAGCAAATTGTTCCACATAAATAATATCGTAATTGGTGCCATTTTGTTCTGAAAATTGTAAACACAGGTGCTACCAATACGATTATAAGTGGTACCACTATTTGTTCTGAGGTACCATAATTGGTACCAATAAGAAAGTTATTGTTCGATACCGGATCAAAGAAAATGAAATACAATAATAACTGAGCGCTAAAGATATCAACTATCGAAATGCCATTTGGTGCCATAATTGTTGGACAATTTGTACCATACATTGGTACAAATTGTCCAACAATTATGGCACCAAATGGCATTTCAATAGTATCGTAGTGAACTAAATACGAATCAAATAGGGACGTATATATTATTTCAAATTTAATCCGTTTATTTTTTCTTTTCCTCTTTCCTACTTTCTGTCTTTTCTACTTTGTTTACTTCTTTCTGTCTTTTCTATTTTCTCTTCTTCTTTGTTTCATCCTTTTCTTTTTTTCTCCCTCTCTTTTTCTTCCTTTCTCTCCAACTTTCTTTTCTTCGTTCCTTTTTCTTCCTTTCCTTTCTTTGCCTGCCTCTTTTCATCTAACACCTCTTAATTAAAATTATTATTTTCCTTAAAGCTAAATCTTCAAAAAAGAAAAAAAATTGACCGCTCTTAAAAAAATGTTGACACGAAAAACATCCTGAATCTGGCAGGTGTAGAAAGAAGCAAACAACTTGTTCAGTTAAACGGAAGTTTGATCCCTATCACTTAACTGATCCGTTTTTCAAGCTTCGAAATAGATCTCCTAGCGAGGTGCTCGCTGAAAATAAATGTGTGCAACGAGACACTAAGCTCCGGTGAAACGAGTCTCTTGATGCGGATTAGCCAAGATATCGTTCTCCAGAGGATCGAACTTGATTCCCTGATTCCGAGGGATCAAGGATGGGTCCCTGGCGAGAGCGTAACTACGGAATCAAGTGACAGGACTAGAAAGAAAGAGAAACACACACATCAAGAGAGATAAGGAAAGAGAAAGAAAAAAAAAAGAAAACGAAAGAAAGAAATCCACAAGCAGCAGCAGAAGGCCGTCGGCCCCGCCAGCTCGCCAATGTTCTCCGACCCACTTCGTCGTCGAGACCGTACTGGTGTACTGGAACTACTTGGACAGGCTATCTCCCTTCTTTCTCTCTCATTTCTCTCTTCTCTCAGACTGAAGTGTACACTCCACTACTAAGAGGCCCCCTCTTCTTACCTCTATCAGATATAGGAAGCACATCGTACTCCGACGTGTGTCTTGTCCGCTCGAATGCAGCGTGGCGCGGTTTTACTCGAGGGTCCTCCGCAGTTCAAAATCCTCACCTCGTCGCACAGGACGTTCCACCCGAAACTTTTCTCGCCCACTCACATTCACCCTGAAACTTTTCGCCAATTAAAGCTCACTCCACCACTGCTCCCTTCAATCTTTAATTACTTTTGCTAATCGCCAAGAGGTCTTTGCATAGTAAGGCGACTACCATTCGGGTGACTACCGTTCTGGTGATTTACATCCAGTGAATTCTGGTGATTTACGTCAGGTGAATGCTGATGATTTCCAACCGGTGAATTCTGGTGATTTCCATCCGGGTGACTTGCATTTAGGTGATTTTCATCCAGGTGACGACCGTTCAGGTGATTACGGAAAGTTGCGACAAGTTAAGCACCAACGACGTGACTACCATCAAAGTTGGATCAAAGTTGTTACCATTGTTATCGTCAAAGTACCATCAAAGTTGATACCATCAAAGTTGGTACCATCAAAGTTGCTATCGTCAAAATCGGTACCATCAAAGTTGCTATCGTCAAAGTTGATACCATTAAAGGTGCTATCATCAAAGTTGATACCATCAAAGTTGCTATCATCAAAGTTGGTACCATCAATGTAATCTTCTCTCAAGTAAATTTCTATCAAGGAAATTTCCATCAAAGGGATTTTTATCAAAAAATTTGCTATCAAGGGAACTTTCATCAAAAAAGGACTCCGATTAAAGAGGGTAATTTTTTAACAAGGAAATTTCTATTAAAATTTCTATCAAGAGAGGACTCCGATTAAAGGGGATAATTTTCTATCAAGAAAATTTTTATCGAATTTCTATCAAGGAAGAGAGTTTACCTTGATATTAATATCAAGGGACCTGCTATCAAGAGAGGACTTCCGTCAAAGAGGGAAATTTCTAGCAAGGAAACTCCAGTCTAAAGAGGACTCCCATCAAATCATCACTTCAGCAGTGGGATAACTTTCAGGAGGACACTTCCGGCAACGAGAGGAGAACTTCTCATGTCACTGAGGGGATTTCTCATATTAAGAAGTCATCTCACGTCCTTGATTCGACTTCCAGTGTTCGGGCAAATTCTCCCATCAAGGGACCAACTCCTCCTCTAAGAGAATCTCTTTTACAAAATTGTCTCATAGGAGAAATATTTTTTCTAAAACAATAATTTTTTTTTCTAAATTTCTATAGATTCCGTAGATTTTTGTAGAAAAAGATACCATTTTTTCTTGTGTAGGAAAGGATCAAAAGTTGTCTTTTGAAAGTGATCAACTTCTTTTCGAAAGGAATCAACTTTTCTGCTAAAGGGATCAATTTCTTTTCGAAAGATATCGACTTCTTTTCGAAAGCTATTAATTTATCTACAAAAGGACTCAAGTTTTTCTGCGAAAGGTCTCAAGTTCCTCTTTCCCTTCGAAAGGAACCAACTTTTTTCCTAAAGGCTCAAATTTATTTCTAGAAAAGGAAATATTTTTTCTCTATCAAGAAATCAATTGCTTGCAATAATAGAAGTAGCGAATTTTTCAGAAAAAAATTGAAATAAGAAAAATTAAATTAAAAAATCTTTTGACAAATTCATCGAAGGATTTCGTGGGCAGGGAGGAAAACTTTTTACCAAGGAGGAGAATTCAAGAAAATTTGTTTTTACTTTATCGATTAGAAATCAAGTTCTAGTAGAAATAAAACAAATACAGATGATTTTGCAGTACCATAATTTTTCAGTAGCAGAATTCGTAATTCAAAAAAACTAATCAAAACGTTACCATAATTTAAAAAAAGTAATTCAAACCGTGCTCGTAATTAAAGAATACCTGATTCAGAAACGTGATCGTAGTTCCAAAAAAGTAATTCAAAAATCTAATTTAAAAAACGTGCTCGTATTAAAAAAAAACAAATTCAAAACGAATGGAAAACAATTCATTAAATTAACCCCAAGTGCTCGTTTTCCTAAAAAAAAAAAATAATTCTTAATTATTCAAATTTGAATTACACTCCCAACTTGTAATCTGATAAGAACATTGAGATACGAGAACTTAAGCTGGAAATTGAGATATAAAGAGACACTCGAGTCAAGAAACCACCTGTTGTGCGTGCATCAGTTCAAAATACACTGGATCATGAGTCGCCTGATTGATATCAATACCCAAACATCTTAACAGGCCACATCCTCTTTTCTCACTCTCTTTCTTTTTTTTTCTTTTCGTGTGGGCAAAAATGAAGCAACACTGGAGAGAAATTAATCTGAGAATTTGAAAAAAATAATTTTTTCTCACATAGATTCTCGAAAAAGTGCAAATTATCTTCTTTTACTTGTAATAATTAACGGACGAGTGTGATTTTCAATGTTTGGAAAAATTTACCTAAAGTGTGAACCATGCCGAGAATTAGTGTCGTCATTTGATTTGAATTTAGAACGAAAGTAGAAGTGCGAGAAGAAAAATTTTCTGGTTTTCTTTTCTAGTATTTAGTGGATTTGTTATTTTTGGATGTCATTCTTTTTTAGTGTGACTAGATTGTAAATTTTTTTCGAGTGAATTGATATTGAAGAGGAAATAAATATTATAGTGGACGATTGGAATATGACGGAAGACTGATTGAAATCTGGAAATTATCATTTTCGAACTGGTAAGTGTTTGTTTGGGAAATTTTTGATAATTTTTTTTTTTCTTGGTAGCAATTGTTAGTAATTTAGCAATTTTTGAAATTTATTTAAGAAATTTATTGAAAGAGAAAAACTATTTAATTATTTTGTTCTATTCATCTAATGGGAATTGGTAACCGATAATTTTTTGTAAATTGAAAATGTTTAATTCAATCTGGAGATTTAGAGGACCAAAGGTAATCAATGACGTAAAGCTATTCTTTTTTTTTTGTTCGAAAATTATACCCCTTACGGAAGATAATGACGATATATCATTGAGCAAGAAATCGAATAGTTAGCTATGGATAAAATTTTTTTTCCTCCGATTCGCAGAGATTAGCGCTATAAAATTTACGGTTAGACGCTGAGGATATATAATGTTTTCGATCCACCTGTCCAATTTTCATGGAAACATATTAGATCGGCTAGCGAAAGTATATTCTTTCGTAATATGAAAATCTATTAGAGTGAAAGTTTTTTTTTATTTTATTATACACTTCCGCTATATTGTGATCCAATTTAGGTATATCTCCACTTTAGAAAACAATGACCTCAAGGAATAATTCAATTTGTCTGCATAGTGCTACTCTTGTGTTTGTTAACAAATTTTTTATTTTTTCATATTTCAAAAAAAGGAATATTTTTGTACTTCAAAATTTCTCGAAAATGAATGAATGAAAAAAGAATATTTTTTATTAATTTTTTTAAATACCAAAATATTTTCAAGTAGCACCAATAATTCTTAATTACAATTAATTGACTATTTGTCAATTACTTGGAAATTTTTTAATTTTTTAAAAATAAATGAAAAAATTGTACTCAAACAAATGTTCTGTTACATTTATTTACGAATTTATTTAATTGTAAAATTATTCAAAAGTATCAATAACTTCTTTTTCAAAGAAATATTTAATTATTATTATTCTTCGATAGGAATTAAGATTTTCAAAAATTTCAAATTCAAACTTTTTGAAATTAAACAACTTTAAAAATATTGTTATAAAACATGAAGACTCGGAGTGATCGATTTCTTCATGTTTTCTAATAATTGAAGATGACCGAGAGATAAAATCATTATTTTATATTATAAAAATATTGTTAAACTGTAACTTCTTCAAAATTATTTTCTTATTCAATTATAATCTAAAATTTTAACTAAAATTAATTTTTAAATCAATTTTTATTAGAAAATTCTACGAGAATTTAATTATTTAAATACAAAAATAAATAATTTTTGAATTCTTTTGACGAGTTTTAATAAAATTTTTAAGAACAGTTACATTTTTCAAAGAATTCGATTAAAATTGTATTCAAAAATAATTTAAATTTATTTTGCAATGAGTTTCTGCGAAATTTTTATTGTTTATGAAAGAATTTAAATATTTATAAGAATAATTTAATTCTTCCGAAGAATTTTAAAGAAATTTTTAAATAATTGAATTCTGTTTAGAAATTTAAAAAAAATAGTAAATATTGAAAATCATTGAACTGCGAAAAGTTTTTTAAAATAATTAAATTTTACAAAGAATTCTATTAAAATTTTTTACAATAATTAAATATCTGTGTGATATTTTCTTAAATTTTATTAAAAATAATTGAATTTCTAAAAATAATTTTATTATTTATGAAAATAATAGAATTTTTGCGAAAGATTTTATTAGAATTTTTAAAAAGAATTGAATTTCCAAGAAGAAATTTATTTTTTTCAAAAGTAATTGAATTCTTGTGCTAAATATTGTTGTTATTTATGAAAATAATTGAATTTTTCAAAGAATTTTATTAAAATGCCTCAAAATAACTGAAATTTCGGCAATAATTTTGTTATTTATCTTTAATAATTGAATTCTTTTGAAAAATTATTTATGTAAAGAATTGAATTCTTGGGAAGGATTTTATTAAAATTTTCAAAAATAATTGAATTATTTCAAAAAAATTCAATTAAAATTGTTTTTAAAACATTTGATTTCTTTCGAACAATTTTATTAGAATATTTGAAAATAATTGAATTTTTGTGAAATTTTTATTTTTTATGAAAATAATTAAATGTTTGCGTACAATTTTTTTTAAATTTTTTTCAAATAATTGATTTTTTTTGTTTTATTAAAATAGTAGAGATATTGAAAATTATTGAAATGCGGAAAATTTTTTTTTTTAAAATTGAAATTTACACAAGAATTTTATTAAAATTTTTGAAAATAATTAAATTTTGAAGAAGAATTTTTTTATTTAGGTATAAAGATAATTGGAATTTTGACGAGATTTTTTTTTAATTTTAAACATAATTGAATTTTGTGATAAGAATTTTATTACTTTTAAAAGTAATTAAATTTCTGCAATTATTTCTAACTTTTTCAAAATTCAATTTTTTTAGTGTTTTTAAACTAAAATTCTTCAATAAATCTGTTATTTTTAATAATTAATTAAATATAATAAATTTAACTAATTTTAGAAGATTTGGAATTATTAAAATTTTTCAAAAATTTTAAGTTCTTTCAAATTTCTGATTAAATTCATTTAAAATTGAAATTTTATAAAATTTCCAATTAAGCCCATTTGAAGTTTACTTATTTATGAAAATTATAAACGCAACTCTTTTAAAATTTAATAATTTATACGTCATTTTATAATAGTTGTTCAAGATTTAAGTTATTTAAAAAGAAATTATTTTCAGAAATTAAAAAAATTGAATGTTTTGTATTATAATTTATGGTAATTTCATAGTTTATGAGGAAAACAAAAAAGACACAAAAATTCAGAATTTTCTTCTAAATTCTAAAAATTTAATTTTTTTCAGTACTTTTAATCAAAAACCCTAAATTTTTGCCCGAATTCCCTGTGTCAGAATAGATGATATTATAGTTATAATAATATTAAAAGTGTATTTCAATTCTTATTTTATTTTTATGAAAATAAATTTTAATTACAAATTTTTACGTTCTATTATTTTTAAATCATTACTAATTTTATTTTTAAAAAAGTGAGTAAAAAGGTAGCCGCTCACGTAAGCGCGCGAATTTTTGCTAGTATTAATTATTAAGCAAATGAAAAATTAAAATAAATAAAAAATTCCAATTAAAAAACATTTAATAAAGTAAAATATCAATTTTCGTGTTCGTAAAAGCGGTAAGAATTAATTTAACGAATCAGGATTGCTAATTAGTAAACAGTGTTGATTTTAGCGAAGGATCGTAAAACTTTTTTTTTCCAAACGTGTGTATAGATGTACGCAATAGAAATTGTAAATAGAAGGCTATAAAACTCCTTATAGAAGTTGAAATTGTAGGTTTTTTCCTTCTTCTCTTTCTTTCTTTCTTTTTCTTTTTTTTTTAAACTTCCCTATCTATTCTAAACACGCATGATGCGTTACACGTTACAGAGAGCTAGAATCACGCAGAGAGGTGTAGAAGTGGGTGACTAGGAGGAGACAAAAGAAACATAACCCACTTTACTCTCCTAATGGAGAATAGACTGACGGGAGCTCGCAGACCGCAATATTATAGAGATTAAGATGCTAATAACTTGAAGCAAGCTAAGCACCGTTTAGCAGCAAATATTTAAACCATTTAAGTAAAATAATTGCTTACCTCATTCCCCCATATCAATATAATTATCCACTTCAAGAACTTGTTCAATACATTCTCTTCTTCAGAATTTTATACATTTATATTTATATATAAAAGAAAACTTAACATTCTTTCTATATAATAGATGAAAAGAATTTATCGAATAACGTGGAAAAGTTTTGCGGGAAGAAAAATATCATTATTTATCAGGTATAGACCATATTTAAAAAGGTTGTAAGGAGGGAGGGGTTGCAGCAATTTGAAAAGTGAATAGAAAAAATGACACAGAATTTATTTTAACTGTATTTTCGAATATTTTGTAATTTTGTTTATTTTCTATAATTAGTTTATTGATATTTTTTATTTTTATTAGAATTTTAGTTATATACTGAAATTGAATTGGAACGAAAAAAATATTTAAAGAAATTTTAAGAAAAATTTAAAAGTAGTAGTTTTTTGTCCTGAAAATCCCTGAAAATTGCGTGACAAGTGAATAGTGAGAAGAGAGATTGAAGTGTAATTATCAAGTGCTTTTGAGAATGGGAGGTGGGGGAAATATTAATAAACTTTTGCAGCTTTCTTCGAAATTTGTTGCATCTATAGTTATAATCCACTGTCCTCAAAACGTGAGGCAACTTCCTATAATTTACACACTTTCACTGACAGTTTTATATTAATCGTATTCATAATCAAATAATAATACCTACTACATTGCAATATAATTTTTTTAATATAGAAATAAAGAGAAATATTACAAATAATAATCGTAATTATAATATGAAATATAGTCATTTCCGACAAATTTTTTTTCTGTTTTTGAAAAGGAAAGTCTTTTTTTGAATCAAAAATTAAAAAGTAGTTATTATGTAACAATGTAATAAATATTCTATAAATTTGATTTTAATAAATACTAGCAACAATTTCTTACTACCTTTTTTTAATAAAATTAGCAATTTTAAAAATAATAGAATTTAAAAATTTTCTAATTAAAATTTTTGTTGAAAACTAAAAAAAATTCAATTTTGGAGAAATTACAAATAATTGCAGAGATTCAATTATTTTCAATGAAAAAAAAAAATAAAATTCTTCTTATAAAATTCAACTATGTTCAAAATTTGAAAAAAATTCTCGTAAAAATCTCAATTATCTTTATGAATAACAAAATTCTTCTCCAAAGTTCAATTATTTTTATAAATGTCAAAAAAAATTCTTGTCCTAATTTCAATTATTTTCAAAAAATTTTCTAATTTCAATCAATTTCAAAATCTACTATTTTAATAAAATTTCTCAAAAAGAATTCCATTATTTTTAAAAAATGTTAATAAAATTGAATGCAAACATTTAATTATTTTCATAAATAATAAACATTTCACAGGAATTCAATTATTTTCATAAATTAGTAAAATTTTGTTAAGGAATTC